AAAAAGCCATGCTGGGATGGCAGTGGGTGGGGGATAACGCCATTGTCTGGTGGGGAATGACAGCAAAATGAACAGTCGACTGGCAGTCCCCCACTGTCTGTTTTTAATTTTAAATGTCTATCCCTAATTTCATGCTCAGCTTTCATTTAGTCATTCGGGAGGCCACTGACACCTTCCGAAGGCTGAAGATCCTCAATCCCAGAGTGAGATTTTGCCATAAGAGGCTGTGGGGCAAATGAAGAGGACAGGCAGATGACATATCGGGGCCAGGCACAGAATAAGCCTCAAGAATCGTCTGAGTTCAGTGCAAACTGACAGCTTTATCCTCCGTGCTACTAAAAATTGAGGAAACGTAAAGCAGAAAATGTTTAATTAAAAAGTGAAGTTAATCAGAAACGTCAAGTAGCACCTAGTAACAGCAGGAAGTTAAAGTGATGTTTATTTTCTAGAAGTAGAACATTAGAAAGCTGGTTTGGTCTAGTGACTTAGGCACCAGGCTAGAAACCAGGAGACGGTGAGTTCTAGTCCTGTCTTAGGCACCCAAGCTGGCCGGCTGACTTTGGGCTAGTTACCAGGAGACAGTTGCATCTCAAGAATGAAAAGTAGTTGAGGGACTTTTAGATCAGTCACTCTCTCTCAGCCCAGCCCCAACCCTCATGGGTAGTTGTGTGGAAAACAGTAGGGGAAAGGAGTATTTAGGAATGTTTACCATCTTGAGTTATTTATTTAAAAAAAACATATTTTTCAGAGTATAGGACACACCTCCCCCCCAAAAAAAGAGGGTGAAAATCTGGGTGCATCTTATACACTGAATACAGCATTTTTGACCTCCTGAACCCCCCCCCCCTTTCACAAAAATGAAAGTGCAAAAGGTTTGGGAGGCTTGCAAAGTGCTCCTGGGAGCCGGGGAGGGCAAGAACGAGCGAAAAATGGGCCGTTTTTTGCTCAATTTGGCCTCCCCATCCCCCAGGAGCACTTTGCAGGCCTCTCAAACTCTCTGCATGCCCCGTTTTTCACAAAAAAATGAGGTTTGTAGTGGATTTGGGAGGTCTGCAGAGTGGAAAAACCTTTTTTTTAAAATTTATTTTACCTCTTCAAAATCTTGGTGCGTCTGATACTCCCGTGCATCTTATAGTCTGAAAAATATGGTAATTAAGATTGGATAAAAAAGAATGAATGAGGATGACTTGGGCATCTTTGTCTCATTAGATGTGATTTTTCTTATACATTTAGTCCTCGACTTACAACCTTTCGTTTAGTCATTGTTCAAAGTTATAATGGCACTGAAAAAATGTGACTTATGACCAAAAAACGGTCATAAGTCACTTACAACCTTTGCAGCGTCACCCTGATCATGTGATCAAAAAATCAGACCCTTGGCAACTGTTTCCTATTTATGACCGTCGCTGTGTCCTAAGGCCATGTGATTTCCCCTTCCTTGACAAGCAAGTCAATGGGGAAGCCAGCTTCTCTCGACAACCTTGTTACTAACTTAATAGCTGTAGTGATTCATTTAACAACTGTGGCAAGAAAGGTCGTAAAATGGAGCAAAACACATTTGACAAATGTCTCACTTAACAACATAAAATTAGGGCCCGATTGTGGTCATAAGTCGATGGGCGTAACTATCGTTTAAAGATGCGTGGTTGTTATAGCACAGGGGTCTCCCTGTTTCCTCTTTTCCATCATCTTAATTTTCTTTATTAAATATTATTAATTCGCTTAACAAGAGGATGGGGTTCCTGCAAATAAATCAAGCAGTGGGGCCCCAATACAGTGTTCTGACCTAGGTTTCCTGATACAGTAAAAAGCAGTTGCCAAGGTTGGGAAGCCCTGGTCTAGAACCTTCTGGAAAGAGAATAAAGAGCAAGGAACCAACCGCTTTTTCTAACTGATTCCAAACGGTGCCAGCCAGAGTAGGAGGGAAGCCTTGCCAGCGCAGTGGTCCTTCCTCTTTTGGGGAGAAGACAGCCCGTAGAGGGTTGAATTTTCTGAGAGGAACTTTATTCACCAGGAAATAAAACCTTCAAGGACTCTAAAGATCATGAGACTGCGAGAGAAGAGGGAGAAGCACAACCCTCATACTGTCAAAGAACTGCAGGCTAGATCACCTGCTCGGATGTTGCATGAAAAAAGGAGTGTGTGTGTTTCTACTCCCACTAAGGCCAAAAGTGGTTTCGTTCCAAGAGCAGCGACCTTTGAGGAGGTATCTCCTGCGATCCAAAAGGGTCCCCAGACCCAGTGTCTTTCTTCCACTGTCTCTGTCTCTGTCTCTGTCTCTGTCTCTGTCTCTGTCTCTGTCTCTCTCTCTCTCTCTCTCTGTCTGTCTGTCTGTCTCTATCTATCTATCTATCTATCTATCTATCTATCTATCTATCTATCT